CCTATTTATATTGACATTGGAAATATAAAGTGAAGTGTCATAACTGTAGGTATTAAGAAACATCAGTTAAATGAAATTGTGTAAAAAGTGCCTGCCATATATGGTAAGTACTGATAGTTACCACTATCAGTTGTTGTGTGGCTCCCATGGGAAGCACAATTTAGTAATTGATTCCCTAACACTGTTGCTTATCTAGTACAGTTTAATTTTTTTTACATGTTCATATCAAGACTATACATTTTTTACAAGGGTGTCCTGACTTCAATTTCCTGCGTCCCCTAAGTAAACATAATGAAGATGATAGTAGCCACAGTCTATTATATAATTACATCATTACATAATCCTCTAAGGTTAGATGCCTGTGTCATTTAAAAGATGGGCAGACTGAACCTCAAATAGTTTATAATGGCAGAGCCACAGTTCAGGCTCAAGTAACATAATCACAAATCTAGTTGTCTTTGCCATTCCAATAAATACTACCTTAAGCACCTATCAGAGTGCCTGCATCGTAAGCACCCACAAAACCTCACTGTTTTGACTGTTTCGATTCTTCTCCCTTGCAGATGGACCCCCATGAGAACATCTTACTGAGCACCCTCGAGATAAAAAATGAAATGGCCACTTCTGAGGCCGTGATGGGACTTGGAGACCCCAGGAGCACAATGCTGGCTTATGACGCCTCCAGCATTCAGTATCGGAAAGCCGGATTGCCCAGGCATAGTTTTGGCAGAAATGCTCTGGAACGACACGTGGCCCAGAAGAAGAGCCGCCTGAGGAGACGGGCTTCCCAGCTGAAAATCACCATCCCCGACTTGACTGATGTGAATGCCATAGACCGGTGGTCCCGCATATTCTTCCCCGTGGTTTTTTCCTTCTTCAACATCGTCTATTGGCTTTATTATGTGAACTAAAGCATAGCCTCCTATGGGAAGCAAGGACTAGATTCCTCCTCAAACCAGTTGTACAGCCTGATGTAGGACTTGGAAAACACATCAATTCAGGACAAAAGTGATGCTAAAATACCTTAGTTGCTGGCCTATCCTGTGGTCCATTTCATACCATTTGGGTTGCTTCTGCTAAGTAAAGAATACACTAAGGTCCTTGTGGTTTTCCAGAGAAAATGCAAGTGTTTGTACACGTGCTGGCAAGACTGAGTCTGAGCGTTCCACTCGATCTGTTTAGTATGCAGCCTACTCAGAGAGGAATTATTGAGAAGATGTTCTTAGGAGGCTCAATAGCATTGTCAGTCGTTTTCCTGAGAAGTGGTCATACCCAGATATCCATCTTCATTTCTGCGGTTGGCATGCTGTTGAGATGGCACTGTGGCACTGTGTTTGTGGACATTATCTGTAATGCCATGGAAACATGTTACTTGAAAATGGTCTACGTCTGCCTTATTAAAGTGATAATGATTTCATGGGAAGATGATTCCCATTGGTTTCTAGAAGGTTCTCATTTAGTTGGAGAAGGATCAGGAGAGTCAAGACAGAGACATGGGAAACCAGCTCATCCAGTCTCTTTGCTTGAACAAAGGGAATCCCTTTCATTGTGGCATTTAGACACTAGACGACTTCTGAACATTATGACGCATGATGGCCAAAGAAATTTTTGGTAAAAAGCTACTTCCTGAGTGGTTAGATAAGGATTGACAACATAGAGCAGCGTAGAAAATCCCGAAGTGACTGTCAGAACAAAATTAAAGCAAGCAAGAAAGCAACCACGACCCTTATCAGCTCTCCACAGCATCTGATCTATATAAACTGTGTCCAGTGGCAAAGGGTAGGGCAAGAGGGATTTTTTTTTCAACCTCATAAGCTTTTGACAGGGCACCGAAAGAGGTTTCTATCATTGATCTAATCAAAAGACAATCAGGAAATAGAAAAGTTAGGAAAATTAGAAGTAGCTTAGATGTTCAGGTTAGGCTGGGAGTCTTTCAAATGTACAAATTTAGAGGCCAGACAATGCTAACAGGTTGTTTATCTCAGAACATGTCAGCTGTCTCTGCAGCACTTCTTTATGAGTTTATTGCTGAATTAAATAGAGTATTTCAAAAGAAGATTTGTTCATTGCTTAAGGGATTAATGGTCCTTTCCAGCTTTTCTTGCTTTCAAAATTCTGATTATATTCTTACGAGACAGATAAAGTAAGGTTTTGGGAGAGACTGAGTGAACAGTATTTTTTCATGTGCAATGAGATTCACTGTTGTATTATTCAGAGTAAAAAATACTACAGTAAGTATGTGCACAGATGAGGTTAGTGTGTACGTTTATTAGGTTTGATTCTTTTTAAGTGTACTTTCAATTGTGTATGTTGCAATCTGTCGAATCAAGAAAAATACAAAAAGTAGTGGAAAATAAGATAAAAACAAAACCACATTAACATGATGAATGTTAGGAGCCTCAGTTGATACTGCAGAAAAATATATACCTGATCATTAGACAGGCACGATGTGTTATTTTTAATTCTACTTTTAAATTATGTCGTTGTGCTTCTTCCCATACTAATTGGACATATGCTGGACAGGAAAGAGAATAAGCTAATATATTTTATTGACATCAATGTGAGCAATATTTTGCTTTCCTTTTGAAAATAATGAATAGCCAAATTTTTCCTCCAACTTTGATTTGATTGAATTTTTTCTTGGACTTTGCTATGTCTATTTTAAAAACAACAGGAAAAAAAAAATCTTCTTTGCAGAGTAACATCCCTAATTTGTACATAGTAGCCAGGATCTGCCTGTGGATACAATATGTATTTTCATCCCTTTGTAATTCAGTAGCTTTGAATTTGCTGGACTACTGTTGCCTTTGTATTCCAACTATCAGTGAACAACAACAGAAAAAGTTTATGATTTGGCTTTCTGAATTTGGCCTAATATGGGATGGCATTTCTTTTTCATCAGTCTAGGAAACTCTGGCCCATGTGTTTTGATTACTGAGTGTAATCTTTGGGCAGAATCTGACCCAGGTTCTTCCTGTAGGCTCGGAGTAGTGATTCCTCATGTTTCTCCAGGGACATACTTCTCCTAGGCAATCACATGGGGGTATTACACTAATAAAAGTGCCTGTCCCTTGTTACTAGGGGACGAAGATTGAGTAGAAAATATCAAGAAGGAAGAAATCGATAACTCAGGGGCACAACTTTAAAATGCCATTCTGCAAAGGCTTTTCTAGAGACAACTCAGAGCCCAAGTCTAGAAGTGGGCTCTTATGTGCAATTACTCTAAAAGCCATAAAAATCCTTGATATTGTCATTTATAGTTACTATACAATTTTCGACATCTGGGGAAGTGAACAGAGAAATCTAGATCAAAGGGAAGGATCTTCACAGCATGAGCCTCAAAAGCATATGAGCAGGAATTCATACTTGCTACCACTCATACAAGAAACGAGGCCAGGGAGGAAAGATGGGACCTTAGAATCTATGCCCTAGTGTGAAAACCATACATTGGCACTCAGTAACCACATAGGTAGAAACAACTGACTCATCCTGTCCAGAAATAGCAGTTGATGTAGAATCTGTCCTTAAACTGTTTAGTTGAATTGGAATGCAGTCATCCCATGAACGGGGGGGGGGGATAGACTTAGAAGTCTTAGAACACCAGTTAGCTTGATATCCAGTGGTTAAACTAAAGGACCACAGCGATGTTTTTCAGCAGTTCTGACGTGATATTACTATCAGTTTATACATATGTATAGTTTTTCTTTTCATTACAAAACAGCCAGATAGCCAGCAATTAAGGTGTTTTTTCATCTTTGTGAAATTCATAGACAAATTCTGACTCTAAAATGCACAGTCTACATGAATTCTCTGATCTCAATCTGTATATATGTATTGTACATGACTCACGACTGCTAGTAGGTATGAAATGCATTTCAGAATTGAAAACTCATGCAACATAAGGAATGTTACAATTCTTTCTACTTCAATTTAATAACAGGGGAAAAGACTCAAGCAATGCCATCGAAGCCTTTTCTCTTCTCATTTCTTCAAGAGCAGTGCTAAGTCAAATACTAATAATAACAATAATAATAATAATAAAAGTGGTTTATGAACCAAAAGACTTTACATTCTAGTATTAGGAACACACACACACAAAAAATCTGTCAGCTTTCAAAAGCACAACACATAGAGAAAGTGCAGTGGGATGCATAACGGGGAAATGAATCACATTCATTTATTTTAAGCAAGACCTGTATTAAATTGGCAACGAAGACAATGTCCGTTGGCCGTAGGTAACTATGTTCCAGTTTTACGATTAGCTTCATTCTCGACAACAGCAAAACAACATCAACGAAAGCAAGTCTTACAACATATCTCCATGTATATATATGTGTATATATAGATCCATGTAAACATACATACATATATATGCATTCGTATGTTGGAAAACAAAAGGAGTAAGCTAATGTGGTTTCTTTTCTTCATCAATCCAGTGTATTATTAATTTGGCAACCAACAATCAACATATTGAAATAAGTAATACAGGGTACTGAGTATTTCTCTCATCAGCAAATCAATGCCTACGATTCTTAAGAACCATCGCACAGTTTGACACCACAATAGTACTGTACCTCAGAACATCACAGGTTAGTTGTCACATTGCTTGTCTAATTGCTCTCTTTTTCAAGGAAACAAATAACCTTGTCCATTGGTATATAAAAACAAATACGTCTTAAGAACATGGAAAATTCCTTCTAGCGGAGGGAAA